GCGGGGGAGGGGGAGGCGCTCCGCCTAGACGGCAGCCCGCACGCGTGGAGCATACCCCGCGTGGCCCCTCTCCGCCACGGCCGTCAGCAGCAGCAAGGCGGTCAAAGACGGGGGGGGGGAAGGACCGCACCCCGGCTCCCCTCTGGTGAGCAGCAGGTCTGATCTTGTTCCGGGGCCGGTCTTCGGAGCCTTTTCAGCCCAGGTTTTGGGCCTGCACTCCGAGGAGACCCGGTTCCACAGCGCCAGAACCCAGCGCGACCGGCGGGCTCGAATCCTCTCTGCGAGGGTCTCCTTGTCTTCTTCTTTCAGGGCCCTTGGTGGGTCTCAAGGTTGTGCCGGCAGAAAGTCTTTGAAACACAGAAGGGAAGAATCTTTTGGTGGGAGAAGGGCCCCAAACCTCTCAGCATTGCTTCCCCGATGCCTCTGAGCACGTCTTGAAACGCTCTTCATAGGAGACCCCGAACCAAGCGCTTGGCGGGGCCCCCGCTGGCCAGCCCCGGAGCCCCCCTCTGGGAAAGAAAGGCGGAAAGGAGGCGTCGTTGCGTGCCTGCAGCCCCGACCCGGCTTTCACCGGCCGGTTTTCGTTTTGCCCAAGAGGATGCGCCTCTGGCCGGGGAAGCCCAACAGAGCTCCCGCCGTGTCTCGGGAAGCCCTGGAGAAAGGAGAAGAGGGCCTGCAAAAGCTCTCTCTGGCGACCAGAAAGCAGGGCAGGCGAGAGCAAAGGGCTGGGTTTGATCACAGGCGCAGGGAAGAGAGGGATCCGGGCCCAGGCGGCCAACAGGCAAGACGCCCAGGGAGTCTGGGGCCAGGTGGGAAAGCGGCTGGTCCGTTTTGATCAGTCCTAAAAGCTACACACACGCACGCAAGCAAGCACACACCCATGATTTTCAAAAAGGACGGAATCTTTGCAGTTGGGCTTCAGCGTTCATGAACCTTCCACTGGCTTTTGCCTGGGGCTTGGCCTCTGCCCACGGCCAGGGTGGCTCCTGGAGGAAGAAGCCCCAGTATATTTAGAAGGAAGGAGAACGCCCCCCCCCCCGCCAGGCCCCGGGATGCCCCAAAGGAAGGCAGGCCGCAGGCGTCCTGACTGGTTGCAGGGGGAGCTGAAGTGGCCTCTTTGCCCAGGGCTTCTACTGCTTTTCTTGGTGGCCCTGAGTGCCTTCTTAGCCTGTGGGCATCTGGCCTTCCAGCCACAGGAGATCCAGGTTTCTGCCAGAGAGCGACAGAAGGGACGTCTCTCCTAAGAGGGAGGGGTCCTGCAAAAAAGCAAAGTGTGCTCTTTATCTCGCGCCCCACATCACTTACAGCACTCTCCGAGCAGTGCACCATTTCATTATGCAGGCTACACGTTGGCTGCCTGCCTGCCCCTGTGAGCTGGGTACTTGGTTTTATCAGCCTAGGTAGGCAGGCAGGCAGGCAGGCAGGCTCAGTCAAGCTTCATCTGGCTACCTGAGCCCAGGATTGAACTCAGGTCAGGAGCCCCTCGACTGCAAGACTGCATTTTAACCACAGGGCACAAGGCATCAGGGAAAGAGCAGGAGGGAGGCTGTTCTCCTTGAAGCACTTCTTCTGGTAATTAAAAGGGTGGAAGAAGCAGCGAGAAGGCTTGAGCGGGCTATGGATGGATGACACAGACCTGTGAAGTCCTGGGCAAAACAGAAATGTGTCTCTGAAATGAGAGCCTCCCTCCTCTGGAGACACTCCTAGGTGGTTTCCTGATCAGGCAGCAAACAAGGATGATCAGGGAGCTGGAACCCAAGCGAAGCAGATCTGGGCATGTTTAGCCTTGGGAAGAGAAGACAGAGGGGAGAGAGGATAGCACTTCTCATATACTTGAAAAGTAGTCCTACAGAGGAGGGGCAGGATCTGTTCTCCATCATCCCAGAGTGCAGGACGCACAACAATGGGCTCAACAATGGGCTCACCTGACGTATGACAAGACTCCAGCTGAGTGTCAGGAAAAACTTCCTAACTGTTAGATCAGTATGACAATGGGAGTAATGACCTCAGGAGAGGGTGAGCCCTCCAACATTTGAGGCATTCAAGAGAAAACTGGACCATCCTCTGTCAGATCTGCTTTGATTTGGATTCCTGCCTTGAGCAGGGGGGGTTGGACTCCATGGCCTTAGAGGGCCCCCCCAAGTCCATGATTCCAGGATTCTACGATTCCAAACATTGCAGGGCCCTCTTAGAGTCTGAGCTCCTCATACAGCTTGGGAAACTACGAATATCTTCCAGGACACACACAATGTGGGAGTATCCTGGAAGATTCCATTTTCCCACTCAAGGACTCCAAAAACGATCCTGCTCCTTTCTAGAAATCTGCTCAGGAATCTGGCAGAAGCTTCCGGGGCTTCCTGTGGGCCTCACTGGCCTAGTTCCATCCCCACTGCACGAATCCAGCTCTCGGCAGGGGGCTGCTGGTGGGGAGGGGGGAACTGGCTGCCTTGGAAAATGGCCCACTCCGACTTCCACCTCTTGAGCCCTGTTGGTAGGAGGGGAGCTGGCCTGGCAGCCACCTCGATTCTCTCTTCCTTTAATAAAGATTCCTCAACTGTGCAATGAATCAAAGCTTAGCCAGTGGTTTCTTGCATGTTAGGGCCTGGAAACGGTTAGCACAAGAAGGCCCCCCCTCGCCCCGGATGAGGGCCTCTCAGAAGCCTCTGCCTTTCTGCACATCGTTTGTGGGGGAGGACACTCACCCCTACACATCACTGCTGCTCCAGTCCTCACACTCCTTTGCTTTTAAATAAACAGAAAACTGACAAAAGAGTCACAGGGGAAAGGATGTATGCCAAACCACTAATTACCATCCACATCATCATCATCATCCTGACATGTTGCATCTGGGAGGAAGGACTGCGCACCAAGCCAAAGACACGGCAAGGCAGAGCCCAGAGGGAGGGGGCGATGCAGTCGAGGGAGGCCAAGGCCTGGGCGGGGGGTGGGGGGTTGAGGGCAATGGGCCAGGGTGCCAGTGACCCGGCTGGCTCCAAAGGTCCCTGGGGGACCCCTGGCCAGTCCCCCTTCTTCAGCCTGAAAGGGCGGTCCTGCAAAGGGGGTCGGGAGGAAAAGGTGCAGGTCCCACCTTGAGCTCTCCATAGGGGAAGGGGCAGGTAAAGGGGTCCCCGAGACCCTAAGGGGGACCTCAGCTGGAGGGGCT